CAATATTCCAGCAATATCACGGCGGGGGACACCAGAAATGGGCTTCACACATTGTACCCATGTCGGGAATCGAACCCGGGTCTTCGGCGTGACGAGCGAACGCTTTAACCACAAGGCTACCCGACCGCCTCTTTTTCAACATGTAAACTAGACTGTAAATTTGCCTGCCTCACTTCAGAAAATGATCACAGATGGTGCTCAAGTGTCAAATGTCTAACTTCTGTTTAAGATGGTCATAAAGCAAGATTGTTTTGTGAAACGAGGTCTTTATATATCTGATTTCATTTTATAGCTACAGTATGTCAGTATCCTTTTGTATTTAAAGTAGATGCAGGTAATGTCACAGAACATTCTCATAAAAATCATGATTCCTTAAAAACAACTATGATTCATTAGGATGGATATTCAACTACTGCCATTCATTGTATTTCTACATATCATATTTTGCATAGTGCATTTAAGGTCTTATTTAGGTTTTTGGTAGATAAGAAAAGTATTCAACTTACTGACCTTTAGGAATTTTTTTTTATATGTGTTCAGTTTGAGATTTAAATATTCAGAATTCAAATTTTGTCTATATATTGGTTTGCATGTGAAAAAAATGTAAATTTAATTGCTGTAGCCTTCAAGTAGTTTCTTGCTGTGGCGACCTTTTGGTGGCTAGCTGACAAGATATCGCCTCGGTTCTCACAATTCTGACTAAGATACTCACAAAGGGAATAATCAGACAAAAAGAAGTAATAAAATTCGTAATAAAATCACATTGAATTTTCCTCCATATCAAGATGCTTAGTTCTCGTAGCTCTATCAGTTTCCTCGCTGTCCTAAACTATGGACTCACTCAGGTGTGGTACATGTACCAGGATAGTTAAACCACCCCTAACATTGCAACATGTGTTCTGGTTGTGTAAAGGCTTTTGTAGGAAGTCTCTCATGGTGGCTACAATGTTGTACAGCGCTGTGGAAACTGGAGGTATTGACTCTCAACAGAAAGGCTTACAGTTCTACTGCCAGTTCATACCATAACAAATTTCTCTTTCTAAGGGTTTTTGGATGTCATTGATTCTGGAATTGTGGTTTTGTCGATGAATCTGTACAGATACTAGTGGATTTGCATACGTTTTGACTTGGAGTTTGTCGTTTTGTTGACAATTGAATTGATCCTGTGGGTTTGACTGGGATATTGACATGTTGACAGGTTGACTGACAGGGGATTGAATGGTGTTCATAACAAAGTTTCTATAGTTTGTGTTATATTCTGGAAGGAGTACGATGTGGATCGAGATGGTCAAATATATATGTGTTTGTATCATTCAATTTAGACATTTGGAAGGTGAGTCAAGTTATAACATTTAGATTATATTAGTTTGATATTTAAGATGAATGTTGTATCTTAGATCACATTGATAATATTGGACTGGTTTTAGTCCAAATTGTTAAAATTAATTGTTTCTGGTTTTTAATTTGATTTAATTCACTGTACATCACCAAGAAGGTTGCACTCTGTTTGATCATCTGGGTAAAGTTTATCAAGGCACGCAACATGAATTGATTGGGACAAACTCTGGATTCCAATTTTAATGATAAAAAAATATATATTATATTAGTATAGATGACAGTACTTGTTATTAACTGACATTATTTGTTAAAGGAAGACTTCATTTTCTCAGACAAACATATGCCAAGTAAATCTTTACTCCTACCATTTATGAGTTCACGAACGTGAAATTAATATCTTTAGTAGACAACAATAAATTCTACAGTCAGTTCAATGAATAATTCTTTTTCTCAGATATTCTTGGATAGATAAACTTATTGCTCTGCACGACACAAACAGAGGTCATGATTTACAACGCCGCCAGATGTTGTCATCTTGCATAAACTGTTGGCACGATTGATGAAATTTACAATGATGCTTTGATTAGATGGTATTGATTAGCAGATCAAATAAGACCCTAATACAACATGAAATCGTACAATTTTCTGGTTGGTAAGCTTATTTGTATGAAAACCAAATGGTTGATTTGATTGCTGCGTTGGTGATCTCAGGCTCTCGATGTTCTGACTAAAGATTCCTAACATATTGACAGGTGCTTGCGGAATACAAATTAAATCAATCTTGGTATCTACACTAAAACCATTTATAGCAGGAACAAACACCTGGGGGGGGGGCAGACTATTGTTGATATATGCCAGAGTTATAATTAATTTTGTTTTGTTATAATCACTCCTTGGCTTTGTTGCAGAGTATTGTAAAACATCATTTACAACCTCTGTTATATACCGTTTGTTATTTACTTGAAGGATTCAGATGAAGGATGTTATTAAATTAAGATTTCCTTTACATGTTCATGAAGATAGTTCATCATTGCAGTTTCAAACCTGTGATCAATCATGAAATGTTAACCTATTGTCATTTAAGAATTAAGTTTCTTTTTGTTATTTATTTGAAGGCTACAGATGAAATATGTTTTTGATTTAAGATTTCCTTTTCATATGCATGAAGATCATTAATCATCACATTTGGAAAGTGATGATCAATCTTGAAATGTTAACCAGTTGTCATCACTACTGTTATCCCAAGCCTAGCCTTGAATGTCATGAGTCATGACAACCTAGAGTTACCCATGTCACCACCTCCCTGTCATGTCCCACCCCATGTTGTCCCTGTATCAGCAACTGTACAAATTCTATGAAGTCAAAGCCATGAAATAGAGAAATTAATCATGTTCAAACACCAATCACTCTGTCCACCCAGGTGGTCAGTTGTCCTCTGGTCACCGATGACCATGCAGCAAGTTTGTATCACCTCTGACCCACAGCACTCTATCATCTGTATCAATCCCCAGTGTGACCTCTCACCCCTTGTCCATCTGTACTGGTCATGTATCGGTTGTTCAGCCATGGTGTTCAATGGTGACTCCTTTCCTCTTCATTGAAACACCTTCGGTCCAAGCATTCATCCTGCTTGCTGCTACTCGGTGTGAGTGATGGCCACCTCTGCTCCAAGTGTCCTTGTCATCTTTTGTGGACTTGCCATAGCTACTCACACTATTTTTCTCCCATAAAGCCCTCTTTACACGCTGGATTAACATAAGAGAAGTGTCAGATGTAATCAAGGATGAGTTATAGTTGTGAATTTGTCTTGACAGAACAGCTCATGTCTACAGACCCAACTTTCTATTCTTGTCCTTTCAATTAATTCTTTTACTTCAACATCATCTCCCTACTGACTCTTCATCTGTCCATTAATCCAGCTATCATGCCAAGATCCTCCTCCCCCCACCCCACACACGAATACACACACAAATACACACACAATCCACATACTCATGTGCTCCACCCTCATCTGTATACCACCTCATCCATATACCACCTCATCTGTATACCCTCCTCATGTGCTCCACCCTCCTCATGTGCTCCACCCTCATCTGTATACCACCTCATCCATATACCACATCATCTGTATACCATCCTGATGTGCTCCACCCTCATCCATATACCATCCTCATGTGCTCCACCCTTATCTGTATACCACCTTATCGGTATACCACCTCATCTGTATACCATCCTCATGTGCTCCACCCTCATCTGTATACCATCCTCATGTGCTCCACCCTCATCTGTATACCATCTCATCCATATACCACCTCATCTGTATACCACCTCATCCGTATACCATCCTCATGTGCTCCAGCCTCATCTGTATACCATCCTCATGTGCTCCACCCTCATCTGTATACCACCTCATCTGTATACTGCCTCATGTGCTCCACCCTCATCTGTATACCACCTCATCCGTATACCGCCTCATCTGTATACCACCTAATCCGTATACTGCCTCATGTGCTCCACCCTCATCTGTATACCACCTAATCCGTATACTGCCTCATCTGTATACCATCCTTATGTGCTCCACCCTCATCCGTATACCATCCTCATGTGCTCCACCCTCATATGTATATCACCTCATCCGTATACCATCCTTATCCGTAAACCATCCTCATCCATGGGATACCTCATCCGTATACCACCCTCATCCACTCTACTGTCATCTGTGCCACTTTTTTCCACACCCAATCCCAACCCAATCAGTCCAAATCATGTTTCCTCAGTGCACTCACCTCTTCTGCCTCCCCTTTCTGTGATCCCTGCGTCATCCTCTACCCCCACCTCTCACCCCTCCCTTCCAGTCTGATATGACTAGAAAGAGACCCACATTCATTACCTGTGTCTTATCACAACCAAAGATGCAATCTGTTTTGCCTGTCCCGAGGGGTAGATGCTTCATTATTACCATGCACGGATACTGGATATCTCATTATTTTTGACATTTTCAATAACAATTAGAGAAAATTACTTTTAAAATGCAAATAAATATCACAGTTTCAAGATATAAGAAGTATTTTCTTGTTGCCTCAAGTAATAAACTTTCAATTACATGAGTGTTTCATCTTTCTAGCAATCAAATGTCTATTAACTATATTGTATTGTAGAATAGCACTTAAAACTCTTCTTTTTTTTATTGGATTGATATTAATTTCTGAGTGATATAAAAACTTATTGTATTCAAACATTTCTAAATCATCAACCTTTGCTATTTTACTCAGCAACTTTCATTTCTTCTAAGAAGTAAAGATTGCAAAGTAATTTTGGACAAGGAAAAAACATTCTTCACATCACTCCATTACTCATTACACAGGTTCATCAATGATGGAGACATTTTTAAATCTCTTCAAATAAAGAGCTCTAAATCAAAGACAGGTGTTTGGGTTTAAGGGATCCTCTGACAAAGTATAGCATGAACAATGGACACAATGAGTTATGTTGCCCAAGATTACAATTTCCGGCCAAGGTTGGTCTGTCAAAAGGGCCTGTGTACATCACTATAGAAAATCACATACAGACTTATTCAAGTGGTAGAAGCGCAAATTGTCCTCTTCCCATCGGTACAAGCTTGAGTGTACGCTTGAACCAACTGCAGTCTCACTATCACAGTGAACAGTAGCGAGAGCGGGAGAGCCTAGTCTTGTATACTTGTACGCTGGGAACTGTGCGTGCTCACAGAGTGTTGTAAAACTCAATGGGTGCAGTTTGAAGTGGTAGCTTTATTGAGGACTGTGTTGGAATAGCAGCCAGATCAGTATTATATCAGACCAGGATTAACCATTATTTCACCTGCTTCCTGTTATTGTGTCAAATTAGACCCAGGAGAACTGTTCCGGAGTCCCTAATGAGACTGTTCGAGCATGGAAAAATGATCACTGCCAAAACTACAGTGTCTTGGCGTCCAAGCTTGATTGGACGATGGATTAATAACAGTAAGAATCAGCTCTCGTTTCTCTGAGGATGTATGTGTTGGACATGTGGTCTTCATCAGCCAGGTACTGTATACCTCCATCATTAGTTTGTCAGTTTGAACGCCATAGCCGTTCTTACATTTGGACCTGCTTATGTCGGGTTTAATTATCTCCTAAATATTTTCCAAATTGTTTGAGAATCTTTCAGCTTAAGTCAGTTTGGTTGATCGTTAGTACTAAAGCAAGGATGTTTTTGTTAAATTAATTGGTGGATGTAGATGCTTGGTTTTAGTGTAAGTTAATTAATTGTGATGTTTAAAAGTACATGTAGATTTAGATGGGGAGTTTTAGGTACATTGCAGAACTTGATGTTAGACTTCAGTTTTTGAAGTCAATGAGAACCTTGAGCTCAAGGATGGTTGAAACTGGTCCTTATATCGGAAATTCAGAAACAATAATGTTGCCGTGTAACAAAGGCCAGAGCTTATCAACTTATGGCATATATTTTGCTTTATCCATCTTATGTTCAACTGAAGTTGACTAGATCTCTGTTTTGCTGTTCAGAAATTGATCTATGTACAGTTATCCTTGGTATTAGCCCTGAGTTGAGTTGTCTGTTAGATGCTCACTTGTAACAGTCGGGATTTGCTCAACTTTAGCCGGCCTTCTATTGATTGTACTGGAGATAGAAATGCTTGCCCAAGTCGTCCCCATATTTCATTCTACAAGTATAGACCTGGTTAATAATAGGCCACCACTGGCAGCAAATGGGAGAAAAATTGTGTCTTGGAAAATCAAATTTAAAATATTTAACCATTATATATAATATGTAAGCAATAGCTGTACACGGTTCTAGCAGTTATATGGATAATTAAAGTGTTGTTTCCGTCCCTCTAGGGTATTTACAATAACATTCAACAATTTAAATAATGTCATCAAGTACAGCATTTATCCACAAAAAACTAATTACAGACAATTATATGGTACCAGATGGCTCAGTAATACTTGTGAGGTCATATATAGTATCGTGCTGTAACAGGTTGTTCAAACTAACATTGAAGCCAATAAATATTTCAATAAGCGTTAGAAGAGCAAAGATGGAGTTTGAGAAGGCTTTTAGACTAATTGACTTTCATGAATTTGTCATCCTGAATCTGGGAACTCAATGATGTACTTAATATTTCAGCACATTTAACCTGAGAAAGTTGGTATAAACAATGGACTTGACTTCATGTCATGGATACAAGATCGTCTAAACAATATTGAGTTACATGGCTAATGAAATGCACTATCGATGTGTTTTAAAGTGTTTGGTTAGAACATGTTAATAGGTGTTGCATGAATGTATGAATGTTAATGATTTTTAGACATACTGACACACTTTGAAAATGCAATTTTCCAGTTTCTTTTCTCCATTTGTTTTGTAGTCATGAGTATTTATATTTATTCATAAAGTCTTACTGATGCAGAGAGCGTGGGTTCCATTCCTGATGGGACTCGATCCGAACAAATATTAGAATTTGTACTTTACTACGAAAGTGTTATCCATAATATATCATTTGTCAATGAAGAGTATCTAAATTTAACATTTTATAAGATTAGGCACCATTCTGCTGCTGTCTCTGGAGTTTCCACACAACCAATGAGACATTTTTCTGCTTTTGGTCTGAAATCAATACTCATTTGCCACAAAGACTAAGAGAATATAATTGTTGTTGTTTTTATGTTGTTTGTTAGTGGCATTGAATTTTCATAGTGTTTTTAGTCTTGGTAAATGTAATTTTCTGCATATATCCAGTGTAAGGTTATGATGACATATCCTTTTGACCTTATTTTCTGTAATTTGAAAAAAGGCCTACCTTACTGCCGAAATTCTTTTAGATGAAAATCCAATAATTTTTTCAACTTGGGACTGTGACTGGGTGCCACTGGTGGGGCAGGATATGCTCACATTTTCATGAACACCTGGTATCATTACTATTTGAAGGTGATTCGTAAACATATGCTCATTATATAGTCGAAATTGTACAATCGACTCTGCTTTTTGCAGAGATTTCTATTGGATATGGAAAGGTTTTGTCGCTATTTATTATTATTATTATTATTATTATTATTAAAAATAATAATAATGATTATGATGATAATAATAATAATTATAATAATAATGATATTATTATTATTATTATTATTATTATTATCGTATATACCGAAAGCATAGAAACATTCATAGTTGTAATAAATGTGTCAAAGTAGTATCACTACCAGTAGTGTGGACAACCAAGATGGTAATCTTCCAGAAGATGCCAAGACCAAAATGACGATCCAAGAATCCCTGCAATGACCTTCCTGGATGAATAATATATGAGATTTGTTTTTCGTTGTGTTTTGCCATTTGATGAAGTGAAATTGATCATGTGAATATCACAGCTGATGCAAAAACGGCATAGTCATTTTTCGGTGTTGTAAAAAAATGAACAAATTGCGAGCAGTATTGCTTCATGTTGAATTTGAATTGTTCAGTTCACTGAGCCAGTTTGTGTCAACTCAGATTATAAGTTGCGTAGTGCAGATTATCAATTATTCAGTAATAAAGTTGTGTTTGTAATGGGAGGGCAGGCTTGGGAGACACATCATTATCTGCACAAAGACTGCCTGATTACCTTATTACCGCTGTTTATTGCTGTATTTGTTATTATAGGAAATAGAAGGATAAAGCTCGGGGGATTATCATGCTTATATCGTGATCATCGCGATTATTTTACCATATGAATTATTAGCTGGATTTATAGATCATCAACATTATATACATAGGCCGTCATGTAGCTCGATTATTGGTAAGTGCATCATCATCATCATCATCATCATTGTCGTCGTCGTCATCAAATGAATGATTGGCCTGATCTAAAGATCATAACCATTGCTATTTGAATGATTTTCATCATGTTATCATCATCATGTTGTCATCATCATCATCATCATCATCATCATCATCATCATCCCCAAATAAATGAGGCACATTCAGGTAGCCTTGTGGTAAAAGTGTTTGCTCGTCACATCAAAGATCTGGGTTCAGAATTTTACACATGAGTCTCTCTCTTAGTACCCCTCTAATGATATGGTTCAAATGTTGCTAAAACTGGGATCACACTCACCAACTATTATTATTATTATTATTATAATTCATCGTCTATTGTCAATTATCATTGTGACATTACAGATTACATACCAGCATATAGACTTGTCTATTTAATCACATGAGAAATGAGCTCGACTGTATCGTGTGTATAGTTGTGAGAGTCCCGATATTGCAGAGTATGACAGAAGGGGATGTATTGACATCCCACAACTCCCCCTTCTCACTTGCCGCCGACTCTGTCACGTCTCCGTACATTTGAAATAGACATCTTCACACTCCGTGGCCACCCTTATACTCCTCTCAACCGTCTGAAAGAGACAACGTCCCTAGCGCTCAACACCTCCGTCATCTCTCAACATTTTTGACTTGTGAATCAGCAGTGGAAAGCTGTTTGTATAGAAAACGGCAAATTATGATGCAATTTAATTGACAGGCAGTCTGCTACATCAATATCTCAAAGCTGTAAAACCTATCTCTCATATCTGGACTCGGCAAAGAAAGAAATGATTGAAGGAAGACCATGTGCTCTAGCGATTTTCTGCTCCATTGAGCTAAAGACTGTTTTGAGGCGTTCTAGGGAAGCATGGCGCACCCAGTGGCTTATCTGCCCAATTTATACCCTCGCCCTGTCGCAGTTTCCGCAGTTTCCGTGGAGATGCGGCTTCACACTGCTAAAAGTGGGAGTAATTTTCACGAAGTCACAGATCTGGAAGCATGTAATTTGTTGCAGACGTAGATTACAACGCTTGATATGTACATTTCATGGTTCCGTGGTTGCGTGTAATACTTACCAATTTCAAAGTTAGTCATCATTTTTCAATATTTCAAATTTAGACATCGTGATAATTTATTTCATGGATGAATGGTGTTAAATGCTCATATTTCACATTGGAATGCTTTAATGATGGTGGAGTATGTGATAATTATATCTATGGTGGTTTTTCTTGGGATTCCGATAATTCACTTGGATAGTTCCAATTTAATAACAAGGCACCTGAAGGTAGTAATTTCAATTTTTTTAATTCAATATTCCTAATCATCATGTTTCCTAAATCTGCTTGATAACCATTTTTGAATTACTTAACTTTCAAGCATTTAGGTTTTGAGTAAATCCTGGGTTTTTTTATCATGCTTGTTGAAAAAAGCAGCATTAAGAACCTTCACAGCTTTTTGAGCTGAAATCTTATTATATTTCTATTAGATTTAGAATTACCTTTTAAATATTTCTACACTCATATATACTACCCACGAGCTAGTAAATCTGTGGGTGGTCCTTAACTTCTTTTGAGTAGTATATGTAAATCAGAATTATGTAAGCTTTGTGATATTCTTAAATGTATCTAACCAACCAAGTAGCTATTCCTTTCCCACCACTTGACTTACAATTATGTTCACGGTAATCTCGATATACTAACAATCCATTTAGATAGCTGAAGGAATTTGAATATCATCGCGGTAACATTTCATGATATACTAGATTTGCTTGTTAAGTCTATTTGCATGACTTGATTGCTTTATCAAGTTTATCTCAGCAGGTTAGTGACGTTTTCTTTCCGAAATAATGCAATCTATGACTGATATATGCATGAGTCCAGCTGATACTGTTATATCAACATAGAAACCGACAATGTGATGATTGGCAGGTTCTTTTAAGGATTAGATGCTAATTATCTATCACTTACCGCAACTTTTGATAAATGTATCAGGCTTTTATATACATATCATGTTGTCTTACTCTTTGGTTATTTACACTACCTTTGATCTGACAACCGTAGCAGTGTGTTAAATTGTTATTACATGGGAAACATGGGCGATCGCATTCACCGGGGAAATTGTTTATTTTGATATGAACAAGCGAGGCTGTCAGATGTGTGATGAAGTGGTGATATTGACTAAGGGACCAGGTCAGGAATCCAGTAACTCTGACATTTCGCTTTTCGTGGCTACC